GTCCCGGGCGGTACCCACCCGTGTGGGCATCACTGCCAGAGCTGGTCCCGTGCCTGGATGTCCCGGCCCAGGGCTGTTCTCCATGTGCACGCTCAGCAGGGGAGTTCCATGTCTACTCAGGGTGACAGGTGCTGTTTGTCAAAGCATTGACTTTTTCTTCCTTTTATGACTTCATACTTGAGCCTAGTTCAGTGATTCTTTATAAAGATATTTTGTTAATCTCTGCTCACAAAACTGCTTGAGAAATCTTCAGTGGCCACCTACAAATCCTCAAGTTTTAAGCTATTAAAAAAAGAGTGCAATTGGAATTTTAGCCAAATCTTTAATTCCACTAGGTACATGAATTGTTTAAGCATGAGACAAAATACAAGGTACAGTAAACAGCTCACACTGGAGCGAGTGTGTGAGGGTGGTTTCGTTGCTAGGATCTGCCTGGGGTACAGGAGTGACACTGGTTGATGCTTTCTGATTGGGTGTTACGGTCAATAATACTTGCATAAAGTGCTGATAAATAAATGTTACAAAAAAGGATGGTCCCGGTGAGTCCCAGGTCTCCCTAGCGCTGTGTAGGTGCGAGGGGGCGGGAGGCGTTCAGATGTCCGCAGGCTCCTCCTGAGTGCCGCGCTGAGGACGCACAGGCTCCAGCTGGCCCGCGTCAGACACGTCGTAGCTTGCTTTGTACTTGGCCAGGATCTTCATGAGGGGCCGGAGTTTCAGCCACCACTGTTCGTTGGGGATTCTGTGCCTGCGAGGGGAGGGAGGACGGCGTGAGCACCCCGCGTGCCACCAGAAGACCCTGGCTGCCCGCGCTTCTGAGGCCAGCACTGCAGAGTGGTGCCAGGAAAGGTGAGCTTTGTGGGATCACCTGAGCAGACTGTGGGCAAAACAGCTTTCAAAGGAAGTCATTACTTCTGCATCTCTAAAAATTCTACCCTATTTTTCTTTGTACCAGGAATTGAACTCGGGACCTTGCGCTTGCTAGGCAGGCACTGTGCCACTGGCTATATCCCCGGCCTTCTGCCTTATTTCTGAGTGTGTGTGTATATATTACTGAGGGTTGAACCCAGCGCCTTTACACCACTGAGCTACATTATCCCAGCCCTTTTGTATTTTTAAAATTTTTAAGCTAGGGTTGTACTAAGTTTCCCAGGCTGGGCTTGAATTTGCAATCCTATCTCAGTGCCCCAGAGTTCTGGGATTATAGGAGTATGTCATCACAGCTAGCTTAAAACTTGTGTTCTTTAACGTAGTTGAATGAATTATGTATCTTTAGTTACGTGGTGGTGTGCCGGTTCTCATGACTCCTGTGTCTCTAATGGCAATGAGATTTGGATATACAGTGTTTCAGTGACTTACTCAAAATCTGTTTCCTTCTTCAGCTCTGTTACAGGTTGAAAAAGCAAGTTTCTTTTGCGTATTCCCAGCAGACAAATGGAGTCATCAGTAACAAATTTTCCTAAGTTAAAAAAAAGTCCAAGAATTAAATCATATTGGATATGATAATCATATTGGATAGATAAAATGGTTCATTAACAGCAAGATCAAAGCATTATATTTTGTTTGTTAATTCTGAGGTGTGATCAAAACCCAAAGTCAGTGTTTAAATGAAAACATTTTACTATAGTAAAACACACAGCCCTAGGAGCCCCCGGACCCTCGCTCCCTTCGACCATCTCGCCCTTCCTGCTACTCTGAGCAGCTCTGGGAGTCCGCTTGGGACTTCTGGCTCCTCTTCAGTCAGAATGAACTAAAGACGGGGGAGAGGACGTCCAGAACGGCTTTAGGAAGTGGCAAGAATGATGGGAAGTGTGGTCGAAGAGGGCGAATTGGAAGGGGATTAACAGCAATGTGTTTTACTGTAATTAGTGTACCAGTCATTCACTGCATATTTCAACCATAGCTCATATTTGTATTTGTAACTTGGAAAGTCATAAAGCGCAGCAGTCAGCGCACCGGTACTACGCAAAGCTGTAGGTGTCAGAAGGAGAAGCACCCTAATGCATGTAACGGTGATCCACCTCTCAGCGCCGCACTGCCCTCCCTGTGACGTTGTACCTTTGCCCGGGGATTCCTTCAGTTTGGCGGTGATCCATTCCATGGCTCGGGCAGAGATTTTGGTTCCAAAGTTTCTATCAAACGGAGAAGGCGCTCCACCCTGTTGTGGGGTGAGTTATGGGAAATACAACAATACTTTCCTGCTTATTTTTTTCAAAACAAATGAAAATTTTTGTAACTTAAAAAAATTCACAGTGGCTGGGGATTTAGCTCAGCGGCACAGCGCCTGCCTGGCAAACATGAGGTTGTGAGTTAGGGTTAGGGTTTTTGAATGGAAGCAAACTTGCAAATAGTTTGGTCTTTTTTTTTATACAGTTGGGACCAAAAAAAAAAAAGCAAAAATCTGATTCCTGTAGCCTATACTCAGTTATCGTAATGCTCTGTTCTCAAGAGATGAGGATTTTTGTCACCTGAACAAACAACAGTTTTTATTTTAGACTTTCCATCAGGGTTTTGTAAACTTATTTTGGGATTGGGAGTGATCATAATTTCCTTTAAGAATCTGGTAAACTGCGGACTCATTTTCACAAAAATACGCATTTTCTACTATTTCATTCTATAGTACTATAGAACTCACGGACACTTTGAAATGTTATAGGGTCTTATTTTAAAAATTTTCTCAGATGCGAGTAAGAGGAGGTAATGATGGAAAGAAACCTAAATTCGGGGACCTAAGACCACTGACTGCCAAGCCCAGCTCTGCTGTCCGGGGAGGCACATTTATACTCCAAGCGAGAGCATACCTGCGACTCTTTCCGAATCATTTTGATTTTGTGTAAATCTCAAGTATCACTGAGCTGATAACTCCATTCTGCACAATGAACCCCAGTATTTAACAAAGTATTTAATTTGGATTAGAATTTCCCATAGGGGAAAAAAGCATTTCCAAGGGTGGTGGCACTATTTACACGGAAGTTTATATTTTTCCTTAAGATCTCTGCATACCCAAATATCACATAAGAAGGAATCCTAAAGCTGACGGTATTTTGTGTGACTCAGAAACTTAATGTTCTTGAATCACGATGGGATTTACTTAAAAACATACCTTCCCCCAGTACGGCCAAAATAAGGCAGCAGTCTAAGAAGGGGCCACGTGGTGACGCGGCGTTTTCTGCCTGTGGGCTCTTGGGGGCGCGAGGACGCGGGTCACCCTACCTGCTGCATGTGGCCCAGCACGTTCTTCCTGCAGTCAAACACCCCCTTGCCCTCCTCGGAGTAGAGCTGGTAAATGAAGTCGGTGGTGTAGTTCTCACTGCAGCTCTCATTTCTGAAACGCAGAAAGCAGCTGAGCTCACTCCTCGGTGCAGGGAGTGGGCCTTCCAGGGAGGGCTGTGCCCGTGGGTCCGCGGGCCGCCGGGATGCCCGGGCACCCGTCAGCGCAGTCATTCTAACCCCCACCCCTGCCCTGACGGGGTATTTGCTCCTTGCTTCATAAAGTTCTGGGCCTTAGTTAAAGACACACTTGGGGGATGCCCTGAAAAACAAAAATGACTAACTACAAAGCAAAAATAAACCTTAAAAAATAACTAATTTATTTATTTATTTATTTGACAGCCTGAACTATGCAGTTGAGGCTGGCACTGAACTCACTTTGTAGCCCAGGCTGAACTT